GAGAATCACCTGGGAATCTGTTTAAAATCCTGATTTCTGGGCCTCATCCTCCAGAAATTCTCTGTTTTCTTTGTTACTCATGTTGTGGCCCCACCCCATCACAAAGAAACAGAATTTCCGGAGGATGAGGCCCAGAAATCAGGATTTTAAACAGATTCCCAGGTGATTCTCATGTGCAGCCAAGGCTGAGAACCACTGTGTTAGCTGGTATGCTGGCTTTGGGTTTGTCCCTTTCCTATTTCTCCAGCAAACAGAAAGAGTTATTTAGAAGGTACACGGCTTTACCCGTCCATGAACTGTTTGGCATTATGATTGAGGTGCATTCAAAGCTGACAGTCCCCCGCCACGGCTGACCCCCTCGCGCCTAATCAGACCTTCCGTTCTGTTTGCAGAGAGCTGATCAGCTTCCGTGGAATTTGCTGATGCCCCAGGAGAGCTTCGCCTGAAGATGGAAACACTGGAGTCGGAGCTGACCTGCCCTATCTGTCTGGAGCTCTTCGAGGACCCCCTCCTGCTGCCCTGCGCCCACAGCCTCTGCTTCAACTGCGCCCACCGGATCCTGGTGTCCCACTGCGCCACCAACGAGTCCGTGGAGTCCATCACCGCCTTCCAGTGCCCCACGTGCCGGCATGTCATCACGCTCAGCCAGCGAGGTCTAGACGGGCTGAAGCGGAACGTCACCCTGCAGAACATCATCGACAGGTTCCAGAAAGCCTCGGTGAGCGGGCCCAACTCCCCCAGCGAGACCCGCCGGGAGCGGGCCTTCGACGCCAACGCCATGACCTCCGCCGAGAAGGTCCTCTGTCAGTTCTGTGACCAGGAGCCTGCCCAGGATGCCGTGAAGACCTGTGTCACTTGCGAGGTGTCCTACTGTGATGAGTGCCTGAAAGCCACTCACCCAAACAAGAAGCCCTTCACAGGCCACCGTCTGATTGAGCCAATTCCGGACTCGCACATCCGGGGGCTGATGTGCCTGGAGCACGAGGATGAGAAGGTGAATATGTACTGTGTGACCGATGACCAGTTAATCTGTGCCTTGTGTAAACTGGTTGGGCGGCACCGAGATCATCAGGTGGCAGCTTTGAGTGAGCGCTATGACAAATTGAAGGTTAGTCCGACCCGCCTTAAGCCAACCCCTTTCTGCCAGCAAATGTCCTAGAAATAAAAAGTGTATTCACGGCGAGCTCCGTGGCAGGTGACGGCTTTCTCTTCACCTCTGTGATCTGACTTGTTTTCGCATGCTTTTTGGCAGCCTCCAGGTTACACAATCAGGGCATCTTGTAAAAGGTGACTGCTGTTTGTCATGTTAGCGTTGTCAAGGTGAGGGCGAATTCGAAAAAATCTGGATCGTTTTCAATCCTTGCAGTTGAGAGAGACAGACAGGCAGAGAGACGGAGGGAGAGGGAGCCAGAGAAAGATTTGAGCGAGATCAAGAAGGGATGGCAGATAAAATCTGGCTTCGGGCACTTTGGGGGCATTTCTTTTCCTTACTCATCAGGGAAAACTAATTTCACTCGCATTGTACCTGGATCTAGTTACCACACAAACAAAAGACTAGAAGGAGGAATGCCTGCAGCCAAGGTGGGATTTGAGGGGATATGTGACCTTCTGTTCCTGGCGGGAAATGCTAGCCAGCTTATTGGGGAACAGAGCGCTCTGACCATCTCGGGTTTCACGAAAGAATTCCTTTTCGTGCAGGCTTTTTATTCGGGGAGGTTACAGGCAAGACTGAACTTCACTTTGAACATGAAATTATTAACTTAACTGCAGCTCGGGGAATGATAATTAATAGGACTATACGTCAAATTTTAAAAAATCTCTCTCTGAATATGGAGAGAGTGCACCAGGGAGGAAAGAAGCCAGGTCTCCAGATGTCTGTTCAACTTCAGACGCCGGGTGGGTCTAATTATTGCAACCTCGGCCGAGAGAGTGTGCTCGGATAGTGAGATACTGTGTTCACCAGCTAATTTGAGTTCACAAGACGTCAATTAAAAGGAAAGGAAGCATCAATTAAGAGCTTTAAGTAAATATATATTGAAGTCCTTCCTCTCGGGAAAAACACACACCGTTCTGTTGAGCAAACAAAAAATGAATCACGTGATCATTAGAGCTTTGCCCCTCAGAGCACATGGTCACCTTTCCCAAATGGTTCCTATCACTTCTCAGCGCCCGTGGATGCTTGCGTTGCCCGGGACCTCACAGTTTATTTTGTGATGCTAGCATTAACAGACCACATCTGTGATTTGGTTTGGTTATTTCTTGTTGTGATGACGGAGGCTGATAGGCTGAAATGAATCCCCGCGCCAAATGTCACTTGGGGAACGATAGCATCACCTGGGCAGCGTGCCTCACTTAAAGTGTCCAATGACGACTGGTGCAAATCCATCTTTAAACATGGAGGGGAAGTTAAGCCCAAGGATTTAGTGATACAGACAAGGGAAGACAGATATGACTGGGTTTCTAGTGCGGTGCAGGGCAGCAGCCAGAAACATGACAAAGGTTAATAACAGCAAAGGCGATGCATGTGTGAATTGTGCCTCTAAAGCAAATTCTTCAGAAATGGATATGGCTGTCAGATTTGAGAAACCAAGATGATCTCCCCCAACCCCCTATTTGATTGGGGACAAAATGTTTAGGATGATAAAAAAATGTCCCTTGGGTTGGATCAACACTGCCTTTTAATGATCATTTGTTAAAATGCCATGATGATGTTCGCTAGTGGACAACAACAGATTTTTTCTTTTATATTTTATTGATTTTTTACAGAGAGGAAGGGAGAGGGATAGAGAGTTAGAAACATCGATCAGCTGCCTCCTGCACACTCCCTACTGGGGATGTGCCCGCAACCAAGGTACATGCCCTTGACCGGAATCGAACCTGGGACCCTTGAGTCCGCAGGCTGATGCTCTATCCACTGAGCCAAACCGGTTAGGGCAACAACTCCAGATTTGATAGTTTAACCTGGAAGTCAGGTTTTCCTCTTGTAAGCTGTCACAGAGGAGTTATTGATTACGTATATGACATCTTCAAATTTATGAGGCGATACTGTCATGCTCTATCCCTTTATGTGATGAAAATGAAACTCTTCAATTATGAGCCCCGCACACTCGTCTAATCAAGCTGGTGGGTTAACGGTTGTTGATACTGTCACCCGGAGGGCCTGCCAATTAACGATGTAGTATATATTACCTTCGAATTACAGAAATATATGCATGTAAACAGCACCCAGTGCACCAACACACATTTACAGCTGCTCAACAAAATATACTTATGAACATTTATTTACAGCCATTTCACAAAATAAGCTTATAAGCATTTATTTTTTTTATTTTATTTTTTTAAAATTTCTTTATTGGTTACGGTTAAGCTTATAAGCATTTAAACAAATAACATGCTAGCATAGCATGTTTGTTCTAAAACATGCCACTTATGTTAGAATAGAAGAATCCTAAGCGTATATGGCATTTGGGTGTCTATGGTATTTTAGTTATCACATATTTATGAACATAAGTACTTCCTTGCTTTTTAAAAACCTCAGTACAATATAAATATTGATTTTTTAAAAATCTTTATTAGTGAAAGTAACAGCATCCAAAAAAGACCAAAACCAAGGAAGTGTATTTTGTTCATTATTACTTTGGTCTGGAAAAGTAAATGCATCTGTAAGTGTTGTTTTCTGAGACTTGAGCATCTCATACAGAAATGGGTTTGTGATGATGCGAAGACACAAATAGAGTGTGGAGAAAGCCCTGGCTGGGTGGCTCAGTTGGTTGGAGCATCATCCCATACGCCAAAAGGTTACAGGTTTGATTCCTGGTGAGTTCACATACCTAGGTTTCGGGTTCCATCCACATAGTCGGGGTGTGTCTGGGGGGAAACGGATCGATATTTCTCTCACATTGATGTTTCCCTCCTCTTCCTTCCTCTCTCTCTAAAAATTAATTTTAAAAAAGTCCTCTGGTGAGGATTTAAAAACAAAGAGAAAGTATAGAGAAATTAAGAGGATGCTTTCATTGATAAGATGATAGATCGGCTTTACTGATTTCAGATATATAAGGACTTAGGTGTCCCCTGCTGGAAATGGTTTTTGTCCTTCTGTTAATAAAAGTCCATTATTTGAAGAGGGGAATTCTGCTATGATTGTGAAGAATGATCATTTCTTGTAACAGCACTAAACTTTTGGGGACTTTTTACTCCTATTAGGTCTCAGTATACATGCATTTATATACGGAATTGGCATACATTTTTACAATTTTTTTCTAGGCGTAAAAGAAAAAACCCCATAAAAATTCCAACATGTAGAATTCATGCAAATAAAATCTTTCACATCATCTGAAATAGCATCATGTCAGTAATCCAATGCCTTCAGAGGCTGTGCACTGGAAAGCACTCAAAGTCAGTGGTTCTCAACCTTCTGGCCCTTTAAATACAGTTCCTCATGTTGTGACCCAACCATAACATTATTTTCGTTGCTACTTCATAACTGTCATGTTGCTACTGTTATGAATCGTAATGCAAATATCTGATCTGCAGGATGATCTTAGGGGACCTCTGTGAAAGGGTCGTTCGACCGCCAAAGGGGTCGCGACCCACAGGTTGAGAACCGCTGCATAAAGTATTGGAAGCAAAGAGAAAGTTAACCCAGCATTTCCTAAGCTGTATTCTAAGATTAAAAAGAGGAAAGTCTCCCTGCCAAATGAAAAAGCCTCTAAAATGGAGCATCTCATAAGGTGGACCTTTCCCCGTCAGTTTCATTGCATTTTGAGAAGGCTGTCAGTCCCGCAAACTTGGATTAAGAGTTTGGTTTGTGAACCACATAACATATAAGAGAATTTAATAGAGTGCATTCCAGAGATTTTAAGGAAGGACAATGCAGTCATTCCTTTTCTTCTGTTCCAACAGACAGCGTTGGAGCTCTTGTTGCTGTTCTCCGGTTACACCTATAAAAATACACAAACTGAGAAAGGTTGACCTTTCCTTGCCCTTCAATTTCAGCATAGCCCCACTTCAAGGTCGATGACGCTGAAGTTCCAAACGATGGCCTTGCTATTCTGACTCAAAAGGTTGGCTGCGGGAGTGTGTTTGTACAATGCTTGCTTCAATGGATCATCCCATTGGAATGTCGTCATCGTTTGATAGCGGTCCCTCAGAATGCTGTAACTCATTGCTTCTTGGAAAATAGCAGCAGGTATAGTGCAGGTTCCAGTGAAAGGTGTGTGCGTGGTGCAGGGAGTGGCCGGAAGCCGGGGATGCTGCCACCTCTTACAATGTGCAGGTCGGATCTCCACCGCATAGAATTATCTGGCCCCAAATAGCAATAGTGCCCAGGCTGAGGAATTCTCGTCTGTGAGAAGAATTCAGTGTTTATCGGTGTATTAATTAGCCAGGGCTGCAATAACAAGGACCACAAACTGGGTGGCCTAGATGACAGAAATGTATTGTCTCGCAGTTCTGTAGGCCAGAAGTCCGAAAATCCAGGTGTTAGCAGGGTTGATTCCTTCTGAGGACTGTAAGGAGGGATGTGTTCCAGACTTTTCTCCGTCGGTTGTAGGTGGCTGTCGTCTCCCTGTGTCTCATCACCTGGCATTCTCCCTGTGTGCTTGTCTTTGTGTCTAAATTTCCCCTTTTTATAAGGACACCAGTCATATTGGATTAAGGGCCCACTCTACTCTAGTATGACCTCCTGATCACTAAGTATATCTGCAATGAACCTATTCCTAAATAAGGTCCCATTCTGAAGTATTAGGGGTTAGGACAGGGGGGGGCAAACTTTTTGACTCGAGGGCCACAATGGGTTCTTAAACTGGACCGGAGGGCCGGAACAAAAGCATGGATGGAGTGTTTGTGTGAACTAATATAAATTCAAAGTAAACATCATTACATAAAAGGGTACGGTCTTTTTTTTTTTAGTTTTATTCATTTCAAACAGGCCGGATCCGGCCCGCGGGCCGTAGTTTGCCCACGGCTGGGTTAGGACTTCAACAAGTGAATTTCGGGGGAGCCACAATTTAACCTACAACAGTCACTTACTCCAGTGTGCACCCAGTTATCTAGTCAAATGAACACATGTTATGTCTCTTTCAAGGATTTAATCACCTCAAGTGAGGC